ACCTGAATTTAATGTGGAAGATTACACAACTAATATAAACGCATTTCTGCTTCTGGCTTATCAACTTGAAGATAAAATGGGTTAATTTTGTTTCTCGCTTAGTCGTCACCTAGGCACAGATATTTCCGTCGAGTTGTACTGATAATGTAACCGGGATATCTAGGTACTTTTAATTAAAATAAACATTAACCATTCATCGGAAAACCGTTGATGTTCTAAATACACTTTATTACCTATTGGAAACAAAACACTTAACACATTTTATACAAGCCGCGGCCTAGAGATAAAGATAGTGGAAGGTGATTGTGTTAAATTGATTTTATTTGTTTCACCTTTTATTGCTCATTGTAGTATAGGTAATCTGAAACTTATTTTTCTCTAAACACATATCGGTGCACCCATAAGTGTGAGCTTTTCACATTTTTTAAGCGATCCAGACCATCGATGACCTCGGAACTTAATATTGCCGTGAGACCAGACAGTTTACCTCACTGACATCAATTACCCAACAACTACGGTCGTAGTTTTTTTCAAAAATAACCCCATAAAAGTTTATGAGGATTTTTTAAATTTATTATATATGAAATTCGAGCCGCGTCAGAGAGAGAGAGAAGGGAAACGGGAGGGAAAAATTTAAAAGTATTGATTAGATATTTATAGTAGCCAAGTTGCTATTTTTGGAATAAAAAGTACTTAATGGAAATCTCCTGAAAGTGACAATTTCACCAGCTACATAATTCATTGTATTTTAAAACGTCTTAAATCTCCAAGTGTAGGGCTTCCAGCTCCTTTCAGATAAGCGGGGTGGAAATTTATTTTTTTATCATAATTAACTTCCGCAACTGACAGAAAGAAATGCAAGGTTGATTAAATTTATTCAGTAGGGCTTTCGTCCTTTTATCATTTCATTCTTTTCGTTTATTGCCACTTGAATGGACTTGCCCCCCTTTGCTGAGATTTGGAAAGTGTAGCAAAATCCTGGTATTGAATATTGCGTCACGAAATCTCAACGTTTCCACCAAGCGTCAATTAATTGAGTTGATGTGGCAAGAAGACGCTTTTAACAATTATACATTTATTGAAACTGCAGTTTGGTTACATTGTTTAACGACGTAAAATATTGCCGACGTTAATAATAATTATTTAATTACAAGATATAAAATATCTTTATTATTCAATTACGGACTACTAAATTACATCCAGTTATTACCAACAGAAGAAATCTTAGCGCAACTACTTAACTCTCATAAATTTTTTCTGTGTTTTAATTAGTCTTCTCTACAGGTAGATTAGTGCGAGATATTGATTGGATATGGGACCAAATTAGTCGTAGGATATCCATTTTTTATCTGATCAAGGTAGCTGCTAGACCACATATTTTTAATGTGCAATTGACTGCATTTTGTTTCTAATTAAATTTTACGTAATAACATTTTCTACACGTACACTAGTCACAAAAATTATAGGATTAAAAAATAATCTAAAATTTTGAGGTGATTTTCAAACGGCCGAGTTGGTGATAAATGGTCGTGGAACAATAAAAAAAAGCAAATTGAAGCCTGAAGTTTCTAGTTTCAGGATCTGATGGTCAAAAATTATTATGAAATCTAGCGAAAAATTCGAGAGTTTAAACTACTGCTATTCTTTCATTGTGATCGAAATGAGATTGAAATTGTCACTTTTGCTAAAAATCATATTTCCATATTTTATTCTTTTTTTTTTAATAAATTTTTTTTTTCAGAAAAATCAATTTTTTTCACCAAAAAATGTTAAATATCGAGAAAAAAAATTGTTTTTTGTTTTTTTTTTAAAATTTTCACGATTGTTAAAAAATTGTCATTTTATTTTACCGTAGTTTCCACTTTGTTTTTAAATGTTTTTAAACCGCAAATCTCTAATACTTACTGGACTGCCAAAATTTGTTGAAGCCCGTGGACCTTTCGAAAGTGAAGCAAAATTTTTGAAATTTTTTTTTTGCTGGATTTCTTATGATTTCTTCAAGCTTCAATTTGTTTTTTATTGCTTTACATAATTTTTCGTCAACTTAACAGCCAGAAATTTAGGATTTTTCTTTATTCTTTAATTTATCTGACTAATTTATTTCTGATTAGTTCAAGTTGTGACTGTTTTGTAATTCATTCCTGAGCCTTAGTGCAACAGAATAATAACACACTTTCCCCTCGCCCACACGAGTGAGAATAATTAATATCAAACTGATGGATTTTTTCAATGATTCCAAAGGGCTGAATAAACGAGCTGTCGCGAGAAGTTTCAGGATGAATAGATTAAATGCAGTTTCTAAATTACGTACCTACGTCACTGGTTCTATTTGACCCAAATTTTTGTTGAGAATTTGTCCTTAGAAGCCCAAATTACCAATTTTGGCACCTCCAAAGCGTCTTGTGTAATAAAATCTGGATTTTATAGTTCGATCAAGCCATAAAACCAGCTAACTTTATATTCAAATAATGTTTATATCATCCCTTACTTCCAAAAAGTTTATGATATAATCAAGGAGTTACTGGATTAACTTTGTAAGTATTTTCCGCACTGTGTAAATGTCACAAGGAATAATTTATAACTGGGATTATTGAAGCTTATGGTGATCCAATTCGTGGTTTTGAGGGAGTCGTCCTCTTCTTGCGGCACACTTGAGGGCCGCCGCCCGACTTGTACCACAAATGTGTAGGCAATAAACAACTATTATATACATGATATATCTCCGTGGTGTTTAAAGAAGAGGTAATAAAAATATCTCCCGAACAAGAAATATGAATAGAAATAATAAGATCAACAATAATTTTCACCGCATATGACTTCATCCCCAGAGGAAAAACAAATGTTTGTGTGTAGCTGTCATAAGATAGGGAAACATTTTTCATCCATCCCGGAGGCTAGATTATTTCTCTATTAGTAAATACCTATAGCCACCAGCCCCTGCGGTGAAAAAGGCCTTAGTAGTTTTGGTCGCCAACCACTTTACATAATATATTTATTACCCTGATTTGGACAGTCCTCAGCCGCTGGTACAAGGCCCGAGAAATTGTCTGCATGGCTGATTTAGGAAGTAAATTATTGGTCAAATGAGATAAAGCTTAAGCATCGGGCTTAACCCATTGTTGTGGAAGCGGAATATATCAAAATATTGTTGAATTAATTAGTCAGTTTCCACTTAAATCAGAATAACATTCAAATTACCTATTTTAATGCAAATTTCGAAAAATACGGGCAACGTATTCTTTCATGAAGCTCCAAAACAGAATTAAATAAATCTAGTCAACCATTTTTTTTACTATCATTTGTAATTTGTGGTATTCATCAATTATTTTATTCGCCTTTTTTATGCTTACTGTATACATGTAATATCATTTGGATTGATCAGATTTTAAATACTGAAAACTTATTTTCGTATTTTTTGCTACACTTTCCAATAGCACTACCTTTCTCAATTTGCCACTGTTGATAAATCATTAATGGTTAACCTATCGATCCACGTTTTTTTTAAATACTATGTCACTACGTGGAATTTAATTTTATTGATGAGATTTTGAACAGTGAAAATTGCTTTGTATATTTTTTGCCATTCTTTCCAAATCCAGTAACAATCAGAATTTACCATCGTGAATTTGTAAATAATATTTTTTAAACAATCTGTACCTGTTTGAAATTCTATTTTGATTAGATTTTACACAATGAAAACTTATTTCCGTAATTTTTGCTGTACTTTCTAATTGTATCAACTTTCTTAATTTGCACTATTAGTAATTTTATACCATCAATAAATAGCATTTTTTAAATAGTATATGATTACAATTTAATTTTAAAAAGATTTTAAAACTTGTTTTCATATAGTAAAAGATTATACTTTCTATTTTTTCTCAGTTTATCGTTATTGATATTTCTAAGTCACGAATCATCTTATCAAAACATTTCACTGCATTTTTCAAATAATCTGTAACTATCTCGAATTTAATTCTGATTGATCAGGTTTTAAACACAGAAAACTATTTCCGTAATCTTTTCACTAAACTTTCTAATTCCACCGATTATCTCAATTTGTTATTATTGATGTTTATCCATAAATAGCGTTTTGAATAATTTTGATGGATCACATTAAAGTCTTTTTTCCGTATTTTTTTACAATCTCATTCCTATAATTTTTTTACTTTGTTGCTATAAACACATATTTTTTAATCATGAATGAACTTCTTATCGATAAACAGCATTTTTTGAATAGTTGTATATTTACCTACTATTAAGGCGATAATGCGTTGTTGATTTTGTTAATAGTAAACAAAACTATAATAGTGTTAGACTAAACAAAAGAGTAATTACCGAAAAATGCATGTAATCTGTGTTAAACGGTACATGAAAACATTTTATTATTATCATCATGCTTAGTATTGCATAAATAACAATAAATATTTATTTAGTGTAAAGATTATCTAGTTTTATCTTCAACAACAAAAACCATATTGGTTTTGAATGGGTATATTATTTCCTTGCGCGAATGCTTAAGTTATTTATTGACGTAATTAGCATATAAAGAAAATGTTGATGTTATTTACTTACCTTTGATATCTTATAGCTTCGTTTTTAAAGGGCACTCTGTTTTAATAAAGCAGGCCATTAGGCCAGTGGCAGAAAAATTGTGTTGACAGTCATTTACGTAAGGTTTCGTTTTATTTATTATTTCATTTAGAGTGTCGATGCCTTATGAGTAGGGCTGTCAGAGAAAGTCGCAATTCAATGGCGTGCCAAGCGGCTCAAACAATGCTTTTCATGTTCACGTCACCTTGGTATACTGTTGTCTTTGTTAACATGCGGATGTTGTATAATTAATTCTTATGTGTTGGTGTTTATGGTCGTGTATTGTAGACAATGTAATTTGTTGTTTTTTAATAAATAATGCGTACGCCTATGTCCCGCGGCTCGGTTCTGACAGCCTTACTTATGAGTAAATAATGCGAAATCAATAATTGGGCACCGTTTTACTGTGTTTTTATTTTTATTATTTTAAATTCTTACATTGATCTACCTATAAGAATTCTGTTGAAATATAATACTGACTGATAATTGGTAAATATTTTATACATTTTAATAATCGTTATATACAACGTTATAGTCAAGATATAATAATTAATTGTCTCTTTCATGCTTATAAAACTAGAGTGACATTTGTGTACAAAACAAAAAAACAATTCTAGCACTAGTATTCTTTATGCTTTTGGATAATGTTACATAATTTAACTATCACTATATAAATACAAACAGTTCAAAAGATTTTTCTATAAACAGTAAATTATCCAAAAGTTTCACAGCTAATATAATGGGAGCACTGTATGAACATGGCTGAGATTCGTTAAGTAGTGAAAAATCACCCAGAAAATCCTCACCCAAGAAAGAACATTTTTTTATACAAATACAAAACAACACACTGAGCATATTCGACACAGAGAAAAGTTCCAGAAAATTATGCAAAAACATACAGCACTACACTTAACGTATTTTATATTTCTATAAAATAAGTAAGTAGTTTCCAGTTTAAAAAAAAATCAACAGTGAAGACACTAAAAAAAGTGTCGAGTGTCAAACATTCAGTAGTATTTTTTCTTAATAAGGACGTTATTTATAGAAAACGATAATATAAAATTGTAAAACCATGCAATAAATATTTAAAAAAAAAATGTATCAAAAGTCAGTCAGTATAATTTTTCCTAATCTATATTACTAACATTGCTACATGGAGTCAGCATAACAACTACAAAAGTTAGGCTACATCAATAGTACTAGAGTGAGGCGCACCATGCTGCTCGAAAATACAATCCTCTACGGCACCACAAAGAGAATTAAGATATTTGATAATGTCAAGAACTAGGTCACCAAAAAATTATCAGCAAACATTAATCTTTATTACATAAATCTAACCCTACGGATGTTGTGCTAGTTTATATTTCTGGAGGAACAATTCTAATGTGACCAGAGAGACGTGTTAGCCCCCTCCCTTTGTTTTACAAATTGGAAATACAATTTCAGTCTGTGACCTAGCCCGCGTTTATAAATATGCCTCGTTGACTAACAATGATTTTTACTTATATATAACGTCTTTATTAGGAAAATATTGCCAATTTTGGGTGAGAGTTTGTGTGAGTGAGAAGAAAAGTCTTTGTCAATGGTGAGGTATATTGACTTTCAGATACTTATGTACAATTACATACAATAAATAGTAGAATAAATAAAAGGAGGGGGATAAGAGTCAGTCAGAGTCTATATGGGGAGCCGCAAGTTTAGCATCAGCAACAGCCATCGAGACGTCGGGGAGAGCAGTGGAATCCTCCCAATCAGAATGAGTGGACGAGTCTACTCCGTAGTCTTCGTCTGGCGCTAGATCCTCCGGGGGAGTTGTTGAAGTCGGCGCCAGAGTCGTAGTCGTCGTCTCTTGACTCAATGTACGCTCTTCCAGTCTTTTCCTGACGCCCTTCCTGTTCTTCTTCTTCTTCTTCGGTACACTCACTAAGTGTTTGTCACTAACGTCCAACCTAAGTTTCTTTTTGTTATTCACGTCTCTTTGGCACAAGTCACTGTCTTTTTCATTGTCACACTTATGTGAATTTCGGTTTTGCACCTTGTGTTTGTTCGCAACACTTTGTCTCTTTTGGCACAAATCGTGGTCGAGTTCGTCATCCGGGCACTTTCGTTTCTTCTTCTTGCGCTTCTTCTTCTTTCGGCATCGCGGGGACTCGAGGTGGGCTTTTTGGCTTTGGTGGGATACGGGGCTGGGACACACGTGACCGTGGTGTCTCATGGGGTGCAGCTGGAGTTCGGGGGCCACGTTGCGGGTCAGTACGCGCGTGTACGATGATAACCTTCCTAACTGATTGCGGGCCCGCACTACTACCTTTCTCGGCTGTCCGCGTCGGTTTAGGGCCAGGTAGAATGTTCTTTTCTCGTTTGAATATTTCGTGGAAGAGTACGTGTTGTAGTTGGTCTGCTCAATGGTCTCGTTGAAGACGCACTCGTCTCCAAAGTCTCTCTGCAACAAAGGAAATGGATTTACATGCGTATTCACAACATTTTCATGATCTTAATATTATTCCACTATTGGAGAGCATGTAGTACCAAAATTCAAACAGCGTTTCAGTACTTTTGGTGGTCCAAAGTGATGATAAGGTTTAATTCAGGATTTTATTTTGGCAGAACATTAAAATCTCTATTTTTTGGCGGATTTTGATTATTTTAAGTTTATTTTTGGGTTACAAATTGGGATTTGAGATTTTTTTTAGTTAAAAAAGAATCATTACAAATTTTAATGCGAAAAAGATTGAGAAGGAAATAAACGTCATAGGCAAATTTAGAAAAAAAAAAAATTTAAGATAGTACAAAAAAGGTATTTCCAAAAGTCCTTATAAATATGATCCCTATTCCAATCCTACACCCTGTATATTATTTTATGTACATACGGCGGCACTTAGGGCAAAAATGTGTCCTATTTCTAAAAAAAGATAAAAACATTGAATTACATTTTCGACCGATTATCATTATACAGGGTCGTAAAGTCCCCATGGTTCATCGGACGTTACGTGAGAGCGATAAAGAGTCATAGAAATCCGTGCGATAGAGAAAGATGGCTGTAATGAAGACGTCTAATAGTCACCGCCCATTTCGCCCTTCCACAAATAAGAAGTGGATCTTATTTGTGGAAGGGTGAAATGGGCGGTGACTATTAGACGCCTTCATTATAGCCATCTTTCTCTATCGCACGGATTTCTATGACTTTCTTTATCGCTCTCACGTAACGGCCGATGAACCATGGGGACTTTCCGACCCTGTATACAAATCTTCAAAGGGGTCTTAGTTTATTTTATACATATAAACGATCATGTAAAGGTGACCTGTTCAACAACATGGTTTCATGTAAGGCCATTATACCAGTGGCGGCTTTTGACTCCCATACCAGAAAAGGCGAAAAAATTTAGGTACAAAGTATTGAAATTAAAATTAAATTAGGCAGTTTTATTTTAAGTGCACTTGAAATATAGGAAAATCTGTTCAACATTATTTTTATAGTAAAAGTCCAATCTTCTGCTGTTGTCCGAAATAAACATGTCAATTATTTTGCCATTAAAGTATAGTATTTCTCGCACCATTGATTAACTGATAGATTACTGTTAGTCTGTCGTTACAATCAATTTAAACTTTTACAGTCTTTTAAAAAACACACAAGAAGCTATACATAAGTAACAAAATTCTACACCACACCTGAACAAATTACGTTTAATTAGAAAAAAAGCCGTGAATAGCTACTATTTGGTTACAGTCACCCTAAACAGTGCTCAGACTGCTTAGTAAATATGCGCTACTCCCACTCCGTCTTTCACTGATGCGCGACGGTAACCATAACCACCGCTGTAAACACTACAGATTTAGGAGCGAGCAACGCGGAGCCCACGTATTCAAACGAATTTTGCAAGTCGAGTTAAATTGACTGCACATTACAAATTTAACATTACCTTTTTCATTTCATTTAATTATCCAGATAACATTGTAAACTAAATTCTAAATAAAATTTTTTACTATGAAAATTTATATGAGGAGCGCCGCCCCAGAGCCCCCTGCACCAGCCGACACTGCATTCTACTGTCACTAATCCCATATGCATAACAGAAAAATTACTATTCAAGTTAGATCACTAATAATTTGACTGACTTTTTAAAACTTTATCTTACCATGCCATTATATTTTATATCGCGATTACAAGTCGCCGAATATTATGCATCATTTGGTGTGCCTCAGAGATCTATATTGGGTCCTCTTTTCTTTAATATTTATGTCAATGATTATGTATGCTGTTTGCTGATGATCTAAACATTTTTATTTTCCTGTACAATATATTGCCGAATGTCGCAGTCAGATTTAATAAAAATATGTAAATCGATCAATAGAAAATAATTTAATCTTAAATATACAAAAATACAGTGTAAAGGCATTTACATTTCGACATAATTTTTTATACAGGTCTGTTTGAAATTATTCAAATACATGGTTGTGAAGAATCTTATCATAATGTTCAATTCTTATACTAACAACTGCAAGTTCATAAAAAATATGCATTAGCTACGCGTCATCATAGTAGTTCTTTTGTTTTTTTGTCTTATACGGAGTATGTCAACAAAACGCTGCCATAGCATCGCGATTGTATGTCGAACAGTTTCCTTTGTGATTTCATTCTACTTCTTCTAGGTTACAAATCTGGGTCAAATGACCCCTTGAAAATTTCCGATGGGCTTCTAGTCTAATAGTTAAATATATTGTTCTATAAAATTATTTAAAAAATCCTCACCCAAGAGAAAACGATTTTTCACTGCAATAAAAAACGTGCAGTATTATAGTTAACGTATTTTATATTTCTATGAAAGTTTTAGTTGGGAGCCACTGATTAAAAACTATTTCACAGCTCAGCTTTGAGGGATCATATAACCCTTAAGAATATTCTTTACACCCTGTATAATTTATCGATAAAAGAAATACAGCGACACTTCAACTACATTAATTTTGATGATTCGATTTGTTTTTAAATTTTGTTAACCTCTGTCAATCGGGTCAATATGTTCTAATGAATGACCGACTGATAGTTTTGTAATATCCTCCGTCTAAGATTTCTCACAGCCTTCCAACAATAAGGTTGATACATTCAGCAGGAAATACAGCTGAAAGGAGAAAGGTAAATGTGAGCAACGCTTTTCAGTTTCCCTTTCATCTCACTTCGTCTCTTTTGATGAAATATTAACAATAAACAACCTTGACAGTGCTAGACGTCAGATAAACCAGAATTTGAAATGTCGCTTCTTTATTACAGCGACATACTTCTTCAACACGCTCGTATTCATAAAAATGTCAACTGGTTGTTTCGTAAAACTCAAATAAATAATAATATTTGAGCACTCTTTGTTTTGGTTCGTCATTTTACATTATTTGTTCATGCGTACAAATATTGAGAATCCGGTTCTGCAGTTGGTAAAAACTACAAATGCACTCGAAAAGAGCGTTACTTTTACTTTTGAAGTAAAGTACTAGCTCGACAAACAGGACCAAAGCAGTGGTGCTCCAACATTTTTATAATAGCCCTGACAGGTCCTCAATTTGTGTTTACGTTTGCTGGTGTTTTTACGGTGTGTTTTTCTACACTGTAAGCTCGTAGTCACGTCTGGAAAGCAGGGGGCATTTTTCAATTACCGCTAACAATCAACATCTCTCCAAGTCGGAGAAATAGTCGTGTCAGCCGATCAGTTACTGGGTATGAAAATATTTATGTTACCTTGTTGTTATAATCTCACAGCATCTAACATCAGATCTGTACCAATACCAATACGTTATCGGGAAGTTGTTTATACTGCTAAGAAGATTACAAGTCATCGATGCTTCTAAATAAAAATGAAAACTGTAAGCGGGAATCGAGAAAAGTTTTTACAGCCCCAACAACAACAGGACGGTTCATATAAGGCAACTCTGATAAGCCAAAGCTATGTAGATCATTATGCTGTCTTTATGTGACAGTCTGGTCTCGTAGTAAGAGGATTAAGCTCCGGTCGAGTGGTTGTAGCTAGGAGTCGATGAAAGACAACCTACAATATACGCGGAACAAGCGTTAGGCGGCATCATTTTCATTTCGTAAATAGAAATATTGTCGAGGACAGCTTGATCCTCAGATCTCATCTTGATTAAATTAACTATCATCGGGCTTAACCAAAAACGTGTAACTGGTATTTTACAATCATGGGATTTTTAAGTACTTACACTGAAGTAATTTCTGCGGCATCGATTTAAACAGTCTGGTCGGCACCAAACTGACCACGGTTGTAATAAATTTAGTTCAGTGTCGATCAGAAGTGCAATGAAGTGGTGATATTGGGTGTGACGTCATTATAAGTCAGAGGACAAAGTGCAACTTTTAATCATTATATATTACATATTTGTAAATATAAAGTGCTATGGTTTTTTACATTTATTATTTCGTTAATTTATCTATAGATTGTTTTAATATTAGATTCATTCGTTAAAAAAAACTGCTACCCAAAAAAGTTTAATTCCTAATGATTTTGTGGACTATCTCTTTAGGTTGTTAATTTAGACTACACTGGGTGTTTCTGAAATAAGTGCGTCTAAATGCCTCTATTTTCGAGAAATTATCTAAGAAAATTAACCATAAATGTAAGCCGACCCTGTGCATCTTGTGCACGTGCGTTATTACACTCCTTTCGCGTACAAAAGGTTCAGACATTAAATAACAATGATTTTCAGCCCTGTGTGGAATTTTGCCAGTAGTTAGTTCTCTCGATTTTCGTAATATTAAATAAAACAATGCTGTCTAATGAGAAATTATTTTGCAAATGACTTTGTGAATGTTCCTTTATACAGGGTCGTAAAGTCCCCATGGTTCATCGGCCGTTACGTAAGAGCGATAAAGTAAGTCTTAGAAATCCGTGCGATAGAGAAGGATGGCTATAATGAAGGCGTCTCATAGTCACCGCCCGTTTCGCCCTTCCACAAATAAGATCCACTTCCACTTGTAATTCAGCGACCGGTGGTCATCTTTGTTTTCATCGTTTGGCTTTTCTTTAATAGATGTCACTACTTATACAATTTCGACTTCCGTATTCCGATATGTTAATACCATCCATTAACAGAGAGCTATTATAGACTGACAATTTCCCAACCATTGCCTTGACAAAACCAGTAAACCAAGAGCAGTCTACTTGTTCGTTGTTTATCGAAAAATGAAGTAAAACGTGATCAATCTTATCGTATTAAATACTCATCAAGAATT